CCTCACTCCAAAATATGGAAACAAGTGTTCTTTCTGTACTGAGATGACTGAATTGGCTAACAGTAAGCTAGTTATCGGTATTTTACAGGTTTTTCGTTTGTAACTTCTAAGTATATTTTAAATGTTTAATTTAATAACCTTCTTTAAATTAAAAATCTGGCAGATTGAAATGATTAAATTATAAGTTGAAAATGGACTAGATAAAAATTGAACATAACAAAGCAGTACAATGAATTTTGTCTAGATAAAAATAAGACAAAATTCTTGGTACTGTTTACTTCGAGCTTATACCTGAAAATGGTTTATGACACGGGCAAAGGGACCACAGGGAAATGGGATGCAAATATCTTTGCAGAAAGATTTGAAGGGACAGGACCCATACCTGGGCTGCAATAAACTCCTCAAAGTAACAGTTTTATTGCAAGATCACAGGCGGCTCTAAGGATTGGAGCAGAGCCGGCGAAGTCTGCAATTTACACCTCTGTGAAGTTGGCCCCCCAAATAGTTCCAGAGTTCCCTGGTATTTAAAAAAAAAAAAATCTATTGTTTAAACTACCAAAAATACCATGCAAAGTTATGAAATACTGAAATCCCGTCTTGTGGAACTTACGATACTTATAACTCTTTAATTATTAATTTTAGAACTAAAGTTCATTGAGATAACTATTATAACTCTTAGGGGGGCCATAGGAAAACTCATCAGAACTCCTGAAATCGAAAAGCAAATTTCGACCAAAATTTTTATCTTACTCTTACTAAGTCCAAAAGGTGAAAATTTATCTCGGAAAAAAATTATTCTGATTTGTGTTCTAATAGCTCCTTGACGAGCACAACCGATAATTACTGGTGTATTTTAATCTAGGATGCGAAACGAAAACGTTTTGGAGCATCGAAATATCGAAAATATTTTTTTGAAAATTGCGAGGCTTATATCTTTTGTTTGGTCAACCGATAATTAAGTTGTGCTCGTCAAGGAGTTGGCCCCTCTAAGAGTTATAAAAATTAATATAATGAACCTTTGCCCTAAAGTTGACCAAACAAAAGATATAAGCCTCGCAATTTTCAAAAAAATATTTTCGATATTTCGATGCTCCAAAACTTTTTCGTTTCGCATCCTAGATTAAAACACACCAGTAATTATCGGTTGTGCTCGTCAAGGAGCTATTAGAACACCAATCAGAATAATTTTTTTCCGAGATAAATTTTCACCCCTTGGACTTAGTAAGAGTAAGATAAAAATTTTGGTCGAAATTTTTTTTTGGATTTCAGGAGTTCTGATGAGTTTTCCTATGGCTCCCTAAGAGTTATAAAAATTAATATAATGAACCTTTGCCCTAAAGTTGACCAAACAAAAGATATAAGCCTCGCAATTTTCAAAAAAATATTTTCGATATTTCGATGCTCCAAAACGGAGTTATAAGATTCGTAAATTGCACAAAACGGGATTTCATTTTTTCGTAACTTTGCGTAGTATTTTCGGTTGTTTAAACAATGTAAATTTTTTTTTAAATACCAGAGAACTCTGTAACTATTTGGGGGGCTATTAAAACCCAAAAAATAATTTAGAAATTTTCATTTTGGGGGGAACGCTTTTTAGGGGGGCCTATATTTAAATTTTTTTTTTAGAGTTCTGATAGCCCCCCAAGGAATTGTTATAATTATCCCTTTGAAGTTTAGCTCTAAAATTAATATTAAAAGTGTTATAAGACTCGTAAGTTGCACAAAACGGGATTTCCGTTTTTTGCAACTTTGGATGGTATTTTCGGTGGTTTAAACAATAGAACTATTTCTAAAAAGTATAGGGAACTCTAGAACTCTTGGGGGGGGGCGCTATAAGAACTCTCAAAATTTTTAAAAAAAGTTGAGGATGGGGGACCAACTTCACAGAGGTGCAATTTACTAAGTGAGTCATTTAAACTATTTGAAATAACAAAACACTAAACGGAAAAGTAATAATTAAATAGAAGAAACAGAAAATCTGAGCCCCAAAAGTTTTATATAATAGGTTATTTTTAATTAATAATCTTATTTTAATAATTAAGAGGCAATTCTATTTATGAAAAAAAAAGAAGTAAATAGGATAAATTTACATCATAAATTCAGAAGAACACGATTTCTTAGATAAATATTCTAGAGTTTTAGCTGCTACAAATTATCTCCAAAATCATTTCTTTTTTTTTTAAGTAGTATAAATTTACTCTTCATACGTTTCTAACAATTATATGTTGCAACTTTAGTGCGTATGGCCCTATAAAATACAATTAAAAACAAAGAAAAATAACTTAATTTTGAACGAATTGTAACGAGAAGATTTTGACTCAACGAATCTTTGGGAGAGGCAATAATAAAAGGAAAAAACGCGGACGTAGAAATGGTAAACTGGACTAAAAGTTTAAAAGGTACCACTAAATTTTTTTTTTACTAACATAATATGAAAGAAATGCCATTCAAAGTTACTTCTTCATGCTAACTATTAACCGTGAGAATTATCCTAACCAGTATAAGAGAAAAAAAGTTTTTTTTTATTATAGTTATCTTTACGAAGTGTTTTACTTTTTACACTTGTTTATTTATAAATATATATATATATATATATTTTTTTTTATATTGTATCTTTACGAAGTGTTTTACTTTTTACACTTGTTTATTTATATTTTATTTTTCGTTCTTAGTTATTTTCAATAATGAACCATTGTAATCATCCAAAAAATTCAAAAACTTGATCCTCCCAAAAATTTGAGGTTTTACGTTTCAAAATACGTAAAATTCGAATATCGAATATAAATTTTTGTCCGTCCGCCGTCCGCGCATTTTCTCCGAGACTACTGGAGCGATTTATATCAAATTTGGATTTCAAGTCAGAGATGATCCGAGGATGATCCTACTGTATCGACATTACTATCCACCCTTTCCTTTCAAGATAGCGGACGAAAAACCTGCGTTGCTGTAACGCCTAAACGAATGTACGATTTCAATGAAACTTGGCTGAATTCTTCTTCTCGATGCCCTTTAAATTTATCTATTTATCTATACTTCAACGAAATAAGCTGGAAAAAAAATTAAGAGGGATGGTAAAATTATATTTCCAAATAACTCGAACACTATACACTTTTTTGTTGATGTTGTATATACATGGTAAATATATATATATATATATATATATATATATATATATATATATATATATATATATATGTGTATATATTTGTGGTTATTTAAAAGTTTTCGAAATTTCGTAAAAATTGGACGATTTGGAGCAAAGATATTGCTTGCTTCCTCACTACCAAAGGTATGGAACCACTGTATTTTTTATATGTTCTACTGAAAAGGATATATCTTTTGAAGAGAAGAATAGTTGGGGTGCTCAGTCAAAAAAGGAAGGCAAAAAATAAATTATAATATTTATTTACATATGCCGACGTTTCGACTTGAAGTTCAGGCCATCATCAGGGCTTTTTCCTTAAATGTCAAGGTGAGAAAAAAAGTAAGGAAAAAGCCCTGATGATGGCCTGAACTTCAGGTCGAAACGTTGGCATATGTAAATAAATATTATAATTTATTTTTTGCCTTCCTTTTTTGACTGAGCACCCCAACTATTCTTCTCTTCATTATCCACGACAGTCAACCAATTACCAATTATGATATATCTTTTGTTTTGGTTTTTGAAAGTGTTACTGAAGCAATGCTATTTTTTTTGCAAATTATTAATGATGAAAAAAAATGTTTTGGCTAATAATAGGAATCACCTTTTATTTTTTTTTTTTTTATGTTACTAAGAAGGTAATGTTACTTTAGATTAGTGTTGCCCAAATACGAGACCAAGACGAGTCTCGCGGTTACCTCAGGTATATAGTAACTATTTTGCATTAATTTTTATTCACAAAAACGATTTTGTTTTACCAATCTTGGTCTTAGTCTTGCAATAATTAGGTGGTCTTGGTCTTGGACCAAGACCGATTTTGGGCAACACTACTTTAGATGTATAATTGTTTGGAAATAACAAACCATCTTGAAAGAATTTGCAGTGATTTTGGTTTAAATTAATCGTTAATAAACTTGATCATTTCTGTCTATACTTAGCGCCTTAATACTTAATACTGATCTATTAAATTTTAAATTAAAAGACGTTTCATTAAAGCCAATGTCTATAAAAACATGAACTCAAATTTCCTCTTGCTTTTATTTTTAAGATACGTATCTGTTATTATTGTAAGTTATATAAGTCACGTATCTGTTATTATTGTAAGTTGTATAAGTCAATACCTAAGAAAAGGTTTCGGCATAGAACTCACAGATTAATTAATTACATCGACGAGGATCTGCCAAATAACCATCGAAAATGATAAGAATTCTCTTGCATATCAAAGCAAAAAGGATCACTTATAAACATTTGCGCAAATTATAGTCATTGAAGTAAGATATGAATGGTATATGATAGAAGCCGTCTCTCCATACTGAGTTAGCAATTATATAGGACACTAATTTAAACAGAACGTTATTAACTATTAGTTAATTTAATTTTTTAAATTGAAGGGGTTCTCTCTCTCTCTCTCTCTCTCTCTCTCTCTATATATATATATATATATATATATATATATATATATATACATACAAAAGCTTTTGGGAAGAAGCCCCCTTCAATTTAAAAAATTAAATCCTGGATTCGTTAGAGGGCAGTTTTCCTCAGTCTGATGTAGTAGAATGACATTCCATCCTTGAATCTTATCCAAACTTAAAAAAAGTATTATTAGTCATATCCAAAAGTATTATTAGTGCAATCCAATGGCATAAGTCATCTACAAGAACAAAATCTGGACCAAATACAATGCAAGTCCTCATAAAGCTAGATAAATAAATTAATTCATGGGTGATAATGAAATTTAATGCCTGCTGGCACACTCAATATAAATTCCACAGTATATTAAACAAAAACATTTTAAAAATATATTACTTTTAATTACAAAAATAAAGGAAATAAATAAATACAATATGCTACTGACCAGCTCCCAACATGACGGATGGGTTGGAGGTGTTGGTACATGATGTGATGGCGGCTATGACGACAGAGCCGTGCCTAAGGGTGTACTCATGCCCTTCGAATGTGAATGAGCCCTTCGCCCCCACAGCTTCTGGCTTCAGTCCGTATCCGTTGAAACCAACCTATTCAATTACAAAAGTAATAATTAAATTTAGTTTAATATAAAATCATGTAAATAATATTAATACTAGTACGAAGATGGTTGACCGAGAATTCCAGAACAAGTTAGCCGAGGCCCACATAATGTCGCCACACTGCCTTCAACAGTGCCAGACGGAATGCCCTGAAGAAGACCTACAACGAAGGTCGAAACGTTGGTTGATGTAATAAAATATAATATTACATAATATTGTATTTTTTGACCGCAACCCCGACTAACTTCTAAAATAATATTAATACACGATCAAACGAAATATTATTCACAACAAACAAGATATATGATTTTTTAAAAATAGATCCAATGAAAAGGAGCTCCAGTGATTCCAAATTTTGTCGTTCCATTAATTTTAATTTAATTGATTTAATTTTGACTTTTAATTAAGCTGTAGAGTATTTAGATAACTTTTTTATGTTCGTGTTGTTTTTATGAAAATGTCCATATTAGAACTGCTTTAGTAATTAACAAATATACTGAGCTGCATTAATGAAAATGGAATTTTATTTTATTATTTATTTTTAATATAATAATAAATTTATATATTTCCCTATGTTTTACAACAATAACTGTTTAAGGGATATATTTGAAAATAATTGTAAAAGTGTACTCATCACAAAAAAAAAAAAATACATTAAAATTATAAATTGGATTTTGAGAAATTTTCATTGATGTTAGCTTATATTAACTTACATTGTCTTATGTATCATAGAAAAGGACAGGGAAAATGTTAAAAATTCCATGTTTCTACTAGTTGAATTAAGAAATATTCAACAGCGATTCCAAAACTTGGCGTTAGCTGTTTTTGGGTCTATTTATGAGAACTTTACAGCTCTGTAATTCTAAATTAAGTAGACAATCTTATTTAAACTTCATATTTCTCCAAATCTACACCAATAGTATACTTGTGCAAAATTTCAAGAAAATCTAAGATGACGAGTGAAGTTTATTCCTTGTCGAGATGGCATGAAATGATCCAAAAGATTTTTTTTAAAATATTTTGAGCAGGTTCACGTGAATGCCTTCACTTTTTATATCTCGTACAAATTTTTCGAAAAATATCCATCTTTTGGAATATTTCTCAAAACACGAATATTTTTCTAAAACAATTTATACAGTATAATCCCATTTATCCAGAATAATGTAACCAGGAATATAGACCTGTATTTATCTATAAATTCTTGATATTTATTTAAGTAATATGAAAAAATATATTAAAAAAAAACAAAACAGATTTTGTCAGAAAAAAAGTGGTCACATTGCCCAACATTGGCGTCCACACATGGCGATCTAACGAATTTGATCTGATTTGGTTTTATGTAGCTTAATTTCACCATTATTTGCCTTTTATTAATGCTGGCTAGTCAGAGAATCAAATAACATGGACAAAAATACAAATTTTAAATCAATCATTTTGTTCGAAATTTTCTGTTTTTTCCTCTATCGTTTCGGCCAGGGCATTAACTGGGAGAACTTTATTATCGTATAGTTAAAATCATTTTAGACTAATTTATCTAAGTCTTTCTCGTTTCATTTACTTTTTAATAAACAGTTTTTCTCACTTCAATTACTTTTTGATAAATAAACTTTCTTTATACAGTTATGTATTGACAAAATGTCCGTATAGCCTTAGAAAATATTTTTTTTAAAAAAATAATAATAAAAAAATCAAAACCATTGTTTATTAATAAAAGTAACAAATATGAAAATAATAAAAACTGCTTACAGGAAAATGCGAGGTTTCTCAAATATAAATCCCAAGTTTGTATTTATAGCCTTTAGAAATAGTTTATTTCTAAGTTTTATTAAAATCGAAGAAATATTAGATTAATTTCGAAAATTTAACCACTTCGAAAAAGTGATGTTTGAAGACTAAAACAAGAATAAAAATTCTTTTGTTTTAGGAACAACATTTGGTACTTACAAAACACAATAAAAAATTAAGTTTGTGTTTTTTTATTCCAAAAACGTAATTCTATAGGTGTTTTTTTTTTATTTCAAAAACGTAATTCTACAGATCCTGGAAAATGACCACATCTTACATTGTGGTACAACTATCATTTGAAATTACACTAATAAATCATAAAGAAATAATTAGTTTTCATGGTCTCCTGTAAAACGCTCATTTTTTAAATGTGACCTTTTGCAATAACTATTTACATCTTTGATATATACCGAGATTTTTTGGTTTATTATTTTTAATAATCAACCATTGTGATCGAACAAAAAATTCAAAAACTTAACACCCTCTCAAAATTTGAAGTTTCACGTTTAAGGATGCATAGAATTCGAAAAACGAATAAAAATTTTTTTGTCCGTCCGCCGTCTGCGCAGTTTCTCCGGAACTACTGGACCGATTTTTTTTTTTTCAAATTTTGATATAAAATCAGAGGTCACCCGAGGATGATCCTCTTTCATCGACATTACTATCCGCCTTTTACTTTCAAAATGGCGGCCGAAAAACCTGCATTGCTATAGACTGTAGCTACTAAAAGAATGTACCGATTTCAATGAAACTCCGCTAAAGTCATTTTCTTGACGTCCTTTAAGTTTATCTATATAACATATTTCAAATAAAAGAAGCTGGAAAAAAAGTTACAAGGGATGGTAAAATTTAATTCCGAATAACTCAAAAAATATACACTTTTTTGTCGATATTGTATATACATGGTTCATATATATATATATATATATATATATATATATATAATATATATATATATATATATATATATATAGGGATATTTAAAAGTTAACGTAATTTTCTTTTTAAAAAAAAAAAAAGTTAAAATGAGACTATTTGGAGAAAAGATATGGTGTCTAGATATTGCTTCCTCACTAGTTAAGTTATGGAAGCACTGTATTTTCTTCCTTTGTTTTGGTTTTTGAAAGTGTTACTGAAGCAATGTTATTTTTTTTTTTTTTTTTTGCGAATTATTAATGATGAAAAAATATGTTTAGGCTAATAATAGGAATCACCTTTTATTTTTTTTATTTTTATGTTACTAAGAAGGTAATGTTACTTTAGATTAGTGTTACCCAAATGTGCTAATCTAAAGCTTCTGTAACAAAAATGTTCTCTAACATTTTAGTCCTGAAGCCAGAGGAATTACGAATGGGTATGTTATACTGAGTAAAAAGAACCTTGTCTGCTGTTCCTGAACCGCTACTTTCAAAAATGGCGAATGGTTTAAAGAATATTAGGCCAGTAATTTGAAGATCAAAACGGGAAATCTATTGTGAAAAATATGGGAAAAGTTTTTATTTGTTTAACTTGTATGTATGGGTTTCGACATGTAAAAAATTCTAACGGACGACAAAGGGAAAACCTTTTTACAGCCAAAAAAGTCAGATTTTTTCCGATAAGTTTTTGTTTTTGCACCTATAACTCCTAAACGATGCATGAATGCGAAAAATGTCCTCATAATACATTAAATTTTGCGTCGAAAGAGTACATAAATCTTATAATTTGGTTAGGTGGTAAGGAATAAAACCGCGGTCAACCAACGCTGATTTAAACCAAATTAGTCAAAAATTGGAACAAATTACTATAATTGGCCCTGCAACTTGGAAATGAGTTCCTTAAGAGAAAAAACCCATAGAATCAATGTTGTGGAGTATCAAATGTTGCGTTCAGTGAGTATCAACTAATTTAATGTAGGTCCCTTACTCCAAACAAAATATGTAATTTCTCGATGGTTAGAAATTGGTAATGAAGGTAAACGTTATTTTCAATATTGCAACAGTAATAGTGTCTATTCTACTGAGTTATTTTTTTTTTAGAGTCTTTTACATGCAGCAAAAGCCCCTTTTCCACCTCTCAGCAGCGAAGGATTTTGGTAAACGATGTGTCGAAAGATACCAAATTTCATAAAGATATAATGAATCCCGATTCGAGATATATAATATATAATTTTTAATTATTCTAAATGTGACAATGTTTTAACAGCTTTGTGATATTTATCGTACAGACCAAAAGTAAAGATCTTTTTATTATAACATCTTTAAAATTTAAATTACAAACATGAAAAAATGAATATAAAATTGATAAATTTTATTAATAAAGCAAAGCGTGTTAGTTCGTCAAATTTTTTACTTTTATTTTTATTAATTAAATTTAGGACAGTTTGAACCTCGTGAAACCAAGCTAGCGATTTGTCTAGATATATAAACTAAAGTATATATTTTTTAAGAATAAAAAATAAATAAATAAATAATATTTGAGTCTACAAGAACCTTATTGACGAAACCTATAAATAGTAGATTTTTTTTTTAACTTGTTAGGTTTATCAAATTTATTTTCTCTTAAGAAAAACTGGGGTGTATCTCAATTGATTAATAATTGAAACAGACTTTGAAAAATAAATATTTCGAAGGAGAGTTAAGCAATAAATTATTTTTTATTTTGAAAAATTATTTCGACAGCTACTTTGCAAAAACTGAAAATATTTAGAAGACAGAAACAACTACCTATTTTTATAAGTTTTTAACCACATTTCCAGTCCAATTTTTAATGCAATATTAAAACAATCATGTAACATTAGAAATAATTGTTTTGATTTGTATTTCTTAATAATACGACTGGGTTCAAAATCGACCCGAAAACCTCAAAACTGCATATCGAATTGAACTCAGACTTCAATTTGAACTCAAACTGTATATCACTCGTGACTTTACTGAATTTTGCCACGTGGCTGTCGATTTAACAAAATTTTGGGGTTAAGATTATCCAATCTAAAAACGCATTTTCCTATCTTATTTAACTTGTAAAAAAGTAAATATTGAAAATATTTATTTATTCATAACTAACGTGCTAGATTTATCAAGTTTATTGTGTATTAAGAACACGAGTAAGCATCAAAATTGATTATTAATTGAAACATCTTTAGAAAAATAAGTACTCTATATGAAAGTAAAAGAATAAATTATTTCTTATCTTTCTGATTGATTTTAGGCCACAGCTCACTT